CATGCCCTCCACAGGCTCCTGTTCACAGTGAGGTGCGTGCTGCTGCCTCCTGCGGCTGTGCAGCGCTTTGCCTGGGACCCACATCTCTTACTCTCTGGCCCAGCCTTCTCCCAGCCTCTTCACCCAGCGAAGACTATGCTCAGCAAACCAGCTCCTGTGTCCAAATTGACATCCACGAAAGCTTTCTGAATGCCCTTTTCTTTCTTTTTTTTGATTGAGATAAAATCCACATAAAATAGAATTCGTCCATTTGAATGCCATTTTAGTTCATTCACACTGTGGTACAACCAGCATCACCACCGAGCTCCAGGGCATTTACATAGCCAGGAACCTCCCCACCCACTAGGGAGCCATTCTCTGATCCTCCCTCTCTGTCCTGTAAGAAATCACACCTGCTCTGTCTCTGTGGATTTGCCTATTTTGGATACTTCATATAAATGGAATCATACACTATGTGGCCTTTTATGCCTAGCTTTTTTGAATTAGCATGTTTTCAAGGTTCGCCCATGTTGGATTATGTATGGGCATTTCCTTCCTTTTCATGGCTGAGTAATATAGTAGACCCTTCTTATCCACAGTTTCACTCTCTGTAGCTTTTGGGGTTTTTTTGGTACAGGGGGATTGAACTCGGGACCTTGCGGTTTTGAGGCAGGCGGTGGCACCACTCAGCTAAATCCCCAGCCCCACTCTCTAGTTTTAACTACTGGCGGTCAACCTTGATCTGAAAATACTAAATGGAAAACTCTAGAAATAATGCTTAAACTTAGAACTGTACATTTTTCTGAGGTGCAGAACCGAATCTCCGGGGTGGGAATCATGCCTGCATTGCGCACGCCACTGCCCAGGCCCCACTCACAGGTTGTCCCGTGATCAGCCTGACTGTCAGGCACTGCGGGGCTGGTGCCCGGGAGCCGCCACGTGCAGCCAAACACTGCATCACAATAGCTATGCAGTCATCTCACTGCATCTCATCCCACAGGCAAGCGCAGCAGCTTGCTCATCACAAGGTCAGTGAGCCAGGCATGGTGCCACATGCCTGTAATCCCAGCACCCATGAGAGGCTGAGGCAGGAGGATCACTGTGAGTTTGAGGCTAGCAGGGGCAACGTAGTGAGTTCAAGACTGGCCTGAACTTCATAGTTAGACCCTGTTCCCAACCCCACCCCCCAAAAAAAGGTAAAAGACTGTAAGATAGTTTGTAATAGAACATCTTCATGTTCTATTACAGTATATAGTTAGCTGTAACTGCTTTATTATTTTGTTTAGCCCTTACTGTGCCTGATTAACAAGTAAAACATTATCACAGGTCTGTGTGATGTATGAGAGGAACACGACAGCCTCACACATCTGCTGGAGTCCTGGGCCGTTCCCCTGGATGGGCGACTGCCCTCATCAGGTGCTGCACCGCCCTCGTTTACTCAGTCACCAGTCGTGGCAGTCGGTGGTGGTGTCCATGTCCGACTGCTGCGGATAGTCGCATACTATTGTCTTTTACCTGTCTGAGACTACGTGCTTACCAAAAATGAGCTTTCATTTCAGTGTCAAATCAACTCTTATCTTCCCCAGTTTAGCTCAGCTCAAAGTACTCACTTTCTTCCAGAATCCACCAAGTCTTTGGCTAAGGCAGCAAACTATCAGCACACATTACAGTTCCACAGCCTTACTTAGATTGTTCTTTTCTTAAAATGATTACCATTTTAAAAAATTTAAAAAATTCACTTCAGTCCAGATTTCAATTTCCTTAAAATTTTTGGCAATATAATTATCTTTCGCCTAGGTTATTCCAATAGCCACAGTTTAACTGGTCTTACTGCTTTTCCCTTGACCCCTACAGGCCATCTTACTGCGTAGCCTCAGTGATTTATTAAAAAGGAAGCCAGCAAGACAGCCATTCTATTCAGACCTCAGAATAGAAGCCAAGGCCTGCTCCATCGCCCATGAGGCCATGCGCCCTGTTTGCTTTCCTTTCCAGCACTTTCTCCCCGTTCTTCACTCAGACCTGGCCTCCCCCTTTGGGCTGCTGTCACAGCTCACACAGACCTCAGCTTTAGGCCTTCACATGGGCTGCTTGCTCTGCCGCAGAGCATTCAGGGCTCAGTCTCTCTCTCACACTTTCTCAGCCCTCCTCTCGTCACTACCACTGAAATCCTCCAGCCCCACCTCTCAGCAGCCCTCCCAATTCTTATCCTGCTCGACTTTTTCTAAACAATAATCATCACCTACTATAACAATGTATTTATAGGCCGGGGATTTAGCTCAGTAGTTCTGGCGCCTGCCTCTAAAGCACAAGGTCCCAAGTTTGATCCCCGGTACCAAAAAACCCCCCAAACCCAATGTACTTATTTATATTTGCTGTCTATTACATACCCATTTCTCTCCAACAAAAGATAATGAAAACAACAGAAGTTCACCTGGAATTCCCACATGCCCCAGCAGACCCGCCTGCGTGCACATCCACAGGGAACAGAGTCATGGTGAAGGAGCTACCTGTGCTCAGCCACAGAGGGTGGGCGGCCGAAGTGTCTCCTGCCTAAGTGCCTGCCAGAGGGGAAGCGGTACACACACACTGCAGGACACTATTCCGCCTTAGCTACTGGACACAGTTTCAGACAACACAGTGTCTAAGGTTAACAGTGTATACTGGAGCTTGCCAACACATAGATCTGAAATGTTCTCATCACGAGAAAGTGATTTCGTATGTGGGGTACTTAATGTGGGGTGTGCTAATTAGCTCAATTTTGGCATTCTATAGTGTATACATATTTCAAAACAACATGCTCTACATGATAGATACAAGTAATTTTTGTCAACTAAAAAAGTCAGTGCCAGGGGCCAGGGATGTAGCTCAGTGGCAAGGCACCTGCCTTACAAGCGCAAGGTCCTGAGTTCCATCCCTGGTACCACAAAAAAAAGAGGGGTGGGGGGAGTCTGTGCCAATTTGCTGAGTATGGTGGCGCACGCCTACCATCCCAGCACTCGGGAGGCTGAGGCAGGAAGATCACCATGAGTTTGAGGCCAGCCCAGGCTATATAATGAGTTCAAGGCCACCTAAACTACACAGTGAGACCCTGTCTCAAAAAGACAAAAACAAAAAAGGAGTGCCAGCTCAATGGTAGGGACTTTTATTGTTTTTCTTTACTTATTCCCCAGTGCCCTGAAAAGAACATAGCACGTCGGTTGCACTGAATAAAGATTTCCTGAATGACGGGTACTGGGTCTACTACAATCCACTGGCACTGAGTAGAGCTGCTGACAGTTTCTCACAGTTCTGCACGCCCCACTTTACTCCCCTCCCTGTCTGCAGAATAGCGAATTTGTGACCTTTTTCCCTGCCCTTTGTCATTACCTCCTGCTATCATATTAATCTTTTCATTAGTACAGTATTCCAAAAGCCGAAGCCAAAGTTCCAGTCCATGGACATTACCCCTGCTCTTCTCCTTTTTCTCCAGGGATAATCCCCTCCGAACAGCAGAATCTCAACAACGCTTCTGGACGAGAGTGCTCCGTTGGCATTCTGTCAAACGTGTCTCCTCCCCCGTCTCCCCAGACGTGTCAGGGGCTGACCACGGCCCAGGAAGGCCCTGCTTCTCTCTTTCACCTGGCAGATGTTCCACAATGAACACCACTCACTGAGGTGACTCTTGACCACTAAAGGGTACCTCTACATCGCTGGCCCTTCAGCTTTAGACCAGAAAAAAATTTAAGGACCTCTTTTGTAGGTGGAGACTTCATAGCTGCTCCCACCCCACTGAGATTGAACCCAGGACCTTGCACCAAGGCTGGGCAAGCACTCTAGCACTAAGCCACATCACAGTCCTTTTTATTTTTTTATTTTTAAACAGTCTAAGTTGCCTAGGCTGACCTGGAACTTGTGATCCTCCTGCCTCAGCCTCCAGAGTCACTTGGATCTCAGGAGTGTGCCACCATGCATGGCCCTTTGTTCTTTTAAACACCTAAAGAGAACTGCCCTATCTTTCCTGGAGCTTGAGTTTCTGGTGTGGTAATGGTAAAAATGTTATCTTTCAAATGAAAGGGTGGAAGTTGTTCAAAATGTTTCTATTTTGCTACAGTTGCTTAAAAGCTGTTTGAGATATCACATTTGTTGCCTAAGTATGTAAAGTGATCAATGCCAGAGAGACTGAAATTCCTTTGGTTTTTCCTGTTTGGATTCTGTTCAGTTTTATCCTTCGATGACTCCTCCTAAATTACATCTTAACTTGTAAGCCCCCTCATTTCTTTTGGGAGTGGATAGAAGAATGATTTTTTTTTTTTAAACCAAAACTCTTCCAGGAATGTTTGCCCTTATTCATATTCTGTGCAATTTAGCCACTCTTTTCCAAAGAGCAAATGCATAATGGCAAACTCCCAGCGGGAAACCCAGTGACCGGTAAGGGTCTGTGCGTTCTCAGACACAAAGAGCTGTTCCACAATCTGAGCAAAGGCAAGGCCAAGCACCTCCAAACGCGTGCCTGAAGGGCCCCGGCCCAGTCTTGCTTAGTGCCTTTCTTGGCTGAGCAGCCGAGAAGCTAGGTCTACACCCTGTTGGAAGAGAAAAGAACAGGAGGAGGGACACGGCCCTGGGGACAGGAGCATACCTTTGGACAGCGTCCTGGGGACAGGTGGCTATCAATGGGAGAGAGCAGGAATTCTTCAGTTTTAACAAATGTGTGTTGGGCGAGGAGGTATTATTTAGCAGTTTTGAGAATAAAAAATCTGATAACGTCATAACCCTTAAATTCACTATTATTTCATATTAGGCTTTTTTCTTTTTCGGTACCAGGAATCGTTCTCAGGGCCTTGTGCTTGCCAGGCAGGTGCTGTACCGCTGAGCTATATCCCCGGCCACAGGTTATTTTACATTAGTAAGATCATATTTAGGGTTATGCTTAAAAGGTAAGATCTTATCCAGATATCTTAAAAACTATCACCTGGGTAAAACACAAACTGTTATAATCAGGAACACTGTATTTACTCAGCTGTGCTGTCTGAATGTCCAATTACCTTTTCTTTGGAGGGCAGGCCAAAATTCCTGATCACTTTACCAGGGATTCTTCATCTGCTATGATTATGGAAGCTCTTTCTTCTTAACTCTGTTCAGATTAAAGAAAAAAAAAAAAGGTAAGGCGATGAAATAGTGGATAAAGAATCAGAAATCTATAATCTTACTTAAGCTATTAGATGTTCCAAAATTGCATGTGCTTCGAAATGTGAAACTTAAAATTCTAGGTACTTTACCAATTCTACAATAAATACAATTCATTTTTTAAAACAACGAACTTAATTGGCTATATTTACAATAAACTAAGAACAAGTGACTACTCAATATATACATAGATCAGCCTCCTGGGGCTTCAAAATCACTGTGTATAATTTGCCACTAATGAGTCTTCACTTAATTTTAAAAATAGCTACAGTATTTAGAAAGCCTGTTCCTATGAAACCTGTCAGAATCACAGGTTTTAAAACATGCACATACTAAATAAGAACATTATTCTGAGAGTTTGCTCTCCTTTATTATTTACCAGTTTATAAATATAATTGTTACGGCTGTGTCTAGATGTCCCTCATGGGGTCTTAGGTGGGGCTTTTTCAGAGGTGGCCAGATCTAGTGTGGGACTGATTCACGGTGCAATGCCAGGCCCAAGGGCGCTAGGACCAAGGGTGTGAGTGCTGCCCCCTAAGTAGCCTGGGTAAGACACAGGGGTGGGGAGACTGACTTAAGGCCCACTGCTGGCTTGCTTTTGCTGTTTTCTGGCTTCTCCTCTGCCAGGTGCCGCCCCGCCTTGGAGCCAGCCAGCTATGGACTGGAACCTCTGTGAACTGTGAGCCAAACAAACCTCTCCTTCTTCAACTCTGGGTGTCAGGTGTTTTGTTTTTTTTTTGGTACCAGGGATTGGACTTGGGACCTTGCGCTTGCAAGGCAGGCAGTAGGACCACTGAGCTAAATCCCCAGGCCAAGTGTCAGGTTAGTAACTGAGACAATATTTATAATACTTGAATCAGGAAACAAAATCTCAATGAAGCCATCTTTCTAAAAGCACAAGGAAATGCTGCATTGTGGTCATCACAGTTGTGCACATATGTACTACATTGTGTACATCTGGACACACACACATATACGGATTTTGGGTAAAATGCAGGTATTATTTTAATTTGGGAAAGAACAGTGAGGTAAGGAGTCAAGGGACTGGACAGTATCAAAACAGAGGTAGAAATTAAGCTGGCTTTCAGTTGACAAACAGCGGGAGAGAGAGCAGCACACACAGGCAGTGAAACAGCTACCTGTCGGGCAGACGATGTCAGAGTTTAAGCAGGGGCTGGATGATATCCTATGGAAAATCCACGGAACACACTTCTCTTCCTACAATCTTCACCAGCTCTATGTAGCACCAAGGTCAGTGCTAAGAATGTTATTTCACTTACTTTTTAGTTATTTTCACATACTCTGAGGTGGTAACCCAAATATTCCTATGGCTTGAGAACCTATGATACTAATAAAACATATCTGAGAGTCAGTGGCTGAAATTTTATACCATGTTTTGTACATTTATTCATAGTTGTCTTTATTGGCTTTTAAATGATTCCTGGATCATATACTTCCCCTTTCCCTCTTTAAAATTTTGTTTTATTCACCCACAAAATGCTACTCAGTAATGCTTAAAATCATTCTTAGAAGCCAGATGTTTCTCTTCTCCAGATTTCTAATTTGCCTATCTTTAAGATTTTTCTCTGATTTCCATTTTAGTGTTCTTTTCTGCCTCACTTCTAGTAAAAGTATCTTGCTTAACATGCCTGTCTTCAGCCAAAATTCATCATTTTGCATCCTAAACACTTTACAGATATGCAGAAATCACTCAAACCAAGCTACAAATTACCATGACAGTAACTGGCCTCCGCAGATGCTGAGGCTCAGAGGGTCTCAGTCCGGACAGGGACAGGGTGCCTTCCGAGCAGGCTGGCGGTGAGCCAAGGTCAGAGGCCATCGGCGAGACTCTCCTTGACCTCACCTCTCTAGGTGGAGCCGTGCCCCAGCTTCCTATCAGCATACTCTAGCTCTTTTCTCCAAGGCATCCAAGGAAGCCACCAGCTGTTGGACACTGTGTGAAATCTCCGAGAATTCACCATTTACCAGTCAGTATACTTTAAATGTGCTTTAAAGGAAACCCTGTTCTTAGAGAAAAATGGTAGTGGCAGTTATTGAAAATAGGTATTTAAAAGCAGGAACTTCTCTGCTTAGAATAGAGGTCAGGGGTCTTTACTAGGAAAAAAATCTGTCATATTCTTGTATACATTTTCTCCTTTGATCTTCACAAAACCCTGTGTTCAAAGAGCTGTTATTGTGATCCCCATTTTACTTGTGCAGAAACAGAATAAAAGGTCATCATTTGCTCCAGATTACCTAGAAAGAAATGGTTTGGAATTGGACCTAGAATCCAGACCTTTGTTGCTTTTTAGTTTAGTTCCCTTTCTGGTGTACTAAACTGCCTAGCCAGTGGCTTTATTTTGTTTGCAAAGAGACAGAAATAGTTGAAGATATACTGGGAAGATTTTCTTAAGTGTTATTTCTTTATTTATTTGTACTTCATACCTTTTATTGATTCCATACTATGTAGCAAGCATTCCGTAAGTATAATTTTTTGTGGGGAGGGTTGACACAGGGTCTCGCTATGTACATCAGGCTGGCCTTGAACTTGGTATGTCCTATGCTGCCATGGAACTCATGGCCATCCTCCCGCCTCAGCCTCCCAAGTGCTGGGATTATAGGCATGCTCTAGCATGCCTGGCTTCAGCAGGTATAATTTTTAGCAAGTTTTTTAAAAATGATCAGTTAGAGGTAGGAAAGGAAAAGAAATACTAAAAAGGGTCACGGTTTGACTGTTCTCCTAAGTCCTGAGACGAGATGTACAGGTGGAAGAGGCTGCAGGAGACACCTTCCTCTGAGAGGCGCTGCCCTCTCCCTTACTGTGCAGTCCCACGCCAAGTGCCAAGTCCTATTTGAGCCACGGGCTTCCAAAGTCCACCTACAGGAAAAAGCAGTCAGCAGAGAAGAACCTCTGCTGGACTGAGTCAACAGAGGCCAGCCAGGGACAGAGGGGACAGCCTCTGCGGGGTGGAGGGTGCTTTCGCTCTCAGTCCCGAGACCGAGAGCACTCCCCAGGCAAAGGCTCTGAGGCACCCCAGGGCAAACCCGCCTCTCCTTTTTCCTTTTGAGGACTGCACGCAGGGCCTTGGCACTAAGCTCCCCAGTCCCTTGCCCCTTTTTAAAATTCTGAGAGGGTCTTGCTGAATTGTCTAGGCGGGGTCTAATTTGCAATGCTCCAGCCTCGCCTCCCAGAGTGCTGGAATTACAGGCATGCACCACCACATCCAGATCCAAGCCCATAAATTTTATATTTTAAAAAAATGGTGCTATGTACATGTACCAACTTCCCATGAAGATTGTAATTATATACTGCAAGCAGTATATGATAAAACAATAAAAATAATACAATACAAATTTGAAAAATTTGAAAGAAAAAAGAAGCAGGCATCCACCATCCACACTGCAGGCCAGGCATGGTGGCCAATCAACCCAGAACTTGGGAGGCTGAAGCAGAAGGATTGCAATGAGTTCAAGACCAGCCTGAACTACACAGTGAGACCCTGTCTCTAAAACAGAAACGAACAAAACAATAATAAAAAAATGAATCAAAGAAGACACTCCAGAACACCCAGGGATTCAGAAACATCCCCTCATTTGTTTTAAACAGAGAAAGCCCTACCTACTGTTATCTAGGCAGTGTTGTATTGACTTTTACTGGGGAAATGGCTTATTTTGTAGTAATAACACTTCTATGTCCTTTTAAATTGCTAAGCACCTTGATGGAATTTAAGACATAATCTATGTCACCTTTTGTTATATAATGCTGTCAAAATTACAGCACACGCCTCTAATCCCAGTACTTTGGAAGGCTGAGGCAGGGCAACTCAGCAATTTACCAAGACTGTCTCAAAATAAAAATTTAAAAACACAGCTGTGGATGCAGCTGAGTGTGGAAGGTCCTCGGTTCAATCACCAGTACCACAGAGCAAATTAAAAACTCAAAAGGCCTACAAACTGCGAAAAAGGGAGAAAAAGCAGGCTAACCATGACACAGGAGTAAGCCAGTGTGAACTTCCTTTTCATTTCTTAACCCTTGAGCTCAGTGTGCTAGTTAGGGAAGACGCCTGTGGCACAGTGGCCCTGCAGAGCCCCAGGTTCTGACTTCATTCTGTCCGGGGCTAGGAGAAACTGAGCCCTAAAGGCCACCCCATCTCTCCCCTCCATCCGTGAGAAGCCTGGAAGGTGAGTTTTCCCGAGCTGACTCCTTTACTTAGGACAACACGCAGAGGCCACGTGAGAACCCACCTTCTGCGTACACCTTGCTTCACAGGCTCAGCCTCTCCACCCTCCCACCCCAGAACACAGGCCTGCGGGCCTAAAATAGCACACTTTGCTTTGTTCTCCATGACGATCCTGGAAAACAATTTGTTGCTAACATTTTGTTTTGTTTTGTTTTTTGTACTGGGGATCAAACTCAGGACCTCATGCTTGCCAGGCAGGTGCTGTGCAGCTGAGCTACATCCCTGGCCCTGTTGCTAATATTTCAAAACCAGGAAGATTCACGTAACATTCCCAATTCCTGGTTTCTCTGGAAAAGTCTAGAACTCTGGCACAGGGCCGGCTCTCTGCAGGGGACACCAGGAGACGCGAGGCAGAAGCTGTGCCCAGGTGGCCTGGCCCATGGACATGTGTCCTTTCCAGTGTCCCCACCCGGCCACACTGCAGAGCCAGCACTGCTTTTCTAAGTCTCTCTCCCAAAATGAAAAACTACATCCCCCAATTTGAAAGCAGGTTATATGTCATATTCTCCAGAAAATATAAGTTAATGTGACACGTAACTCACTTTCTTCTGATCCCATGTATTTGCTTTTATGCTAGCAGGCCGTCTCCTCATCAAAGGAAATTTAAGAACAAAACTCTACTCCACACGAGCTCTCTTTTTATTGGGGACAGTGTAGCCCCCCTCTTCAAAAGTCAGCTAGAGATTGTGTACCCACGGAGCCTGCA